TGCATGTGCTACTACAGGGCTACTAACTTCCTTTTCTATAATACTAAATTAATGTGTTATCAAATCACTCAAGCACACATGAATTACATAGTTAAGCAGGAAACAAGATTCAAAAGAGATCATACTCACAGTGTCAATAAGATCTCTGGGTGTCGGAAGTACAGCACCAGCATGATAGTAATCTATCCCAAGTCCCCCACCAATATTTAAGTAATCAACTTCAAAACCTTGAGACCGGATTTCATCAATGTACTTAACCATAAGAACAGCAGCATCCCGAAATATATCCACCTGGTAAGAGAGAGAGAGAGAGAGAGAGAGAGAGAGAAAGAAAGAGACAGAGACAGACTTAGATTTTGTGACAAGAGAAGTTGGTGTACATCTGTCATAACAATAAGGACAAGAAATGAACATATACTAGCAGAAAACGAAGACAAGAAGAGTCATAAGTGAACAACACTGAACAGAACAAGAAGAAAATAATGGCCGATAATAATGTCTTCCAACCAAGACTTACCAGCTGAATTTATAATAGACAAAATGGCAAGTTATACACTGAGACACAATTATAACTTGTGTAAAGGTTCCTGTTTTAAAACTGTGTGAACTCTTTATTAAGAATAACCCGTTGATAATGGTTTTTCTTAAAGTGTTCAGAATGACCTCATACAAGCACGGATATGAAAGGATATTACAAGTAAACATAATAATATAGAGGGATATGAACACCAAGTAATCAGCACACCTTGGTAATAGTGGATCCAAGATGACAATGGGCGCCAACAAGTTTTAGCTCATTTGGATGTGCCTTCACAGCATCCAAAAACCATTGCAGCTTCTCATTTCTAATACCGAATTTGGAGTTCTTGTTCCCAGTGGCAACATATGGATGAACCTAAGAAATTAACACAAATATTAAAACAATATACAAATGGCTTAAGATCAATGTAACAGTCAAGCGCTTCAGTATGGATAACTTTCCAATAATATTCCAACAACTGCCTGAACTTGCTATTGGAGCTGGAGAAACTGGTGGGGTAGGGTGGTCTGGGCAGTATATATGAGGCATGGTAGTGTCCCATGCCAAAGATCTGTCTACATTTTTACAATAAGAAATAAAAAGGGCACCAAGTTCACAAAAGTACAACTATCTGAACCTAAATACATGTGGTGCTCATGTCCTAATATTTTTAGATTTTTCGCAACGGATGTCCCATGTCCAGGCAGTACCCTGGTAGTTGGCAAACTCTCCAGCTTCAGAACTGAGCAATAGAGTGCTGGAATATGGGGAAAATCGAATATGCCATAATGGTTGTGGCATCATTGTGAAAATATGCACTCATGGCAACAACACTGTTTATTAGCTATGTAGTTAAGAACTTAAGCTAAAAATCTTGTTCTATAAAGTTAACATGATAAAGCAATAATGCAACGGTATTAGTTATATTTTAATTTCTTTGAAGTGGTTATTCTAATTGTTATCAGCTTCCTGATTAATTTAATTACTCAAAAAGTATTGATACCATGAATCATATTATGCATCAAGCACATTCCAAAACTTGAAAATATTCAGGCAAGTATCATTCTAGAGTTAAGACGCATTGAGAACCTTCCTATCATAGACTTTTAGCTTACGCATCACAATGACCAACTAATGGTTTTCAGTTAAAGATTCTATTTCCTAAGTTTTCTAAAGACCAGACTAAACATCTCATATGTCTAACATCTGCACTTCCCTGATTCATGAATATCATCATCATTACCTGAGGGTCTACGTCTGGATTAATCCGAAGTAGAACATTGACCCTCTTTCCAGCAATTCTTGCAGCAGCAACAATATTTTCCAAGTCAAACTCGCTATCAACATTGATAAAAACACCTTCTTGGGCAGCCAAAACCAAGTCCTCCAACAACTTTCCATTCCCATTAAAAATGCACCTGTTCAAACAATTGTACAAGCACGTTTTCAAAACACATTTAGCCCAAACACACAATTATTCATACACAGGTAAACATATCACAAAGCAAGCCATAATTTAGATGACAGATTGAAATCCCATTGATGCCATTGATACTAAAAATAATGTAACACAAATAAACCTTTTATTCACACACAAAAATTGAAACAAATGATGGGTATGTAGAATCTTACTTAGTGGGATCAAACCCAGCTCGAAGGGCCAACCTGAGCTCATTCCCACTAACCAGAACAGCACCACAACCCAACTGTCTCAGATGCTCCAATATCTTGTAATTGTTGTTGGCTTTAATCGCATACCCAATAACAGAACTCAACCCCTCCAATGCCTCCTTATAGGCCTCGACGTTTCTAGTGATCTGTGGCTTGCTGTAGAGGTAGAAAGGCCGCCTCTCAACCGAATCGATGACTTCCTGTACCTTGAGGCCCTCACAATAGAGAAACCCATCTGAGGATTTGGAGAAGCAGTGCTTAAAGGGGGTCGTTTGAGGGTCTTGGGTGAGGGATTTTGATGGGTTTTGGGAGACGACGGCTCTGAGAACCAGGGGTTTAAGGGAGGCGGGTCTGAGGGGTAGAATGGGGTTTTGGGAAAATGGGTTTCGGGTTAAAGGGTGCTTTAGGGGTTTGGAGAAGGATGATGATGAGGTTTGGTAAGGGAGCTGCGTAGCCGCCATTGAGAAACGAAGAGGAAGAAGAGTGAGTGTGTGTGTGAGACTGAGAACTGCTTTAAACTGAAAAAGGCACTACACAAAAGGGCAACATGCTCTGAACTTTTTAGTAATTTCAGCAAAATATTAGGAGCACGTTGAACAGAAACATTACAGCTCATCAAATTTATTTCATTAAAATTGAAAAGGATACTAAAAAAGACATTTATTCTCTATCTAAATCACATTTTGACACATATGCAACTATAATTCATCACGATTCACAACACAATCAATAACCTAAAGAGAACATTTTACACGCCTATCAAACTGTCATTGGCAAAAAAATAAGAATTCTTACTTAAACAGAAAGAATGCAGTATTTTCGAATTGGAGAACCTAACAAAAAAATGTATTATATTTGAAATAGCAACACACCACAAAACTTTTAACAATTGGAAAAACTTCGTTTTCGAGCTCTCAAGGTCAGTCCGAGTGGTGAGATTCATGGATGGTAATTGAAGTGGTTGATACTGAGCATGACTCCTCTCACCATATTATGATGTTTCATGTACTACCATTCTCGTCTATTCGTAATTAGAAATTGGGATACCTTTTTAATATTATTAATTCTCTTTTGCGTCAATAGAATGATAAAAGCAATGGGTAGTGTTTGTGCCATAATTAACGGCCAATAGGAACAGAACACGTGGACAGGATCGAGCCTGGTCAAAGTTACCTTCGGCACCCAGCACCTGGTCAAAGTTGCCTTCGGCACCCAGTGTACCGATCCCTCCATTAGGGTAACGCCCTCTCCTGGGACACGTGGCACGCCCACAGTCGACGTCCGCAGTCCCACATCGAAATTCTACAACAAGTGCACACCTCTCAATGCCTATAAAAGAGGCCAACTATCCCAAAATAGAGGTAATCAGAACTTACGGCATACAAGCCTATTGATCTGTCAGTTGAACTCTACTACCATTCTCGTCTATTCGTAATTAGAAATTGGGATACCTTTTTAATATTATTAATTCTCTTTTGCGTCAATAGAACTAGCCTCTCTGCACGTGCTTCCGCGCCTGCGAGAGGCTTTTTTTATATTTTATTTTAAAATTTAAATTTTATTTTAGAATTAAAAAAGATAATGGGTAGTTGTTTTCCATAAAAATAGGATCCATTGTCCAATTTTTCTTTTAATTTTAATTTTTTTAAATATGAAAAAGTGTGAATTTACCATATTATCCTCATTTAATTAATAATTCAAATTCTTAATGTTTGCATTAACCAAGGGTAAACACCATTCTCTGCCTTTTGCTTTATATATATAGACTGGTATTTTGAATGTTTCACCATTCTCTGCCTTTTGCTTTATATATATAGATGATAAAAGCAATGGGTAGCAAATAATAATTGATATCAGTTTAATGAAGAAGAAAAAAAGGTTGTTGGTACGCTGCAATAATATTTTGGACTTTTCACTATTTTAGGATTTTGATGAATTAATTTCTCACAAAAAAAGTTATGTGCAATTATGTTAAATCTAAATTTAGCTTTTGGTCTCTAGCATTTCTCATCTCAAAATTGAAAGAGGTTCCAAGCTCAAATTCTCCCGTCGAGCGCCCAACAATATTATTAAAAAATTAGTCAAATTAGAAAAACTGCTTAGTCGATCATTGTGTGAAAAAAAAAAAAAAAACTGTTATATTATTAAATAATTTTGATAACTATTTTAAAATAATTCGATTTCTTCGCTCTCATATCCTTGTTTTACCTACCTGCTATAACTTTATTTTCTAGTAAAATTTTATTTGATGCTTGTGTAATTTTTATTTTTATTTTTTTAAATTTTTATCTGATTGCTTACGGACAAGTGAAACCAATTGCAGTTCCACACAATGTGAGAGAAGTTTTTTTTGGTCAAGAATGTGAGAGAAGTTGAAGATAAAAAAATGTTGGGAACAGTTGAGAACAGAGCCGTTGATGGTCATGGTTTCTTTCTAGGTTTGGTGGAAACAAAAAACGGCGGAGCCGTTGGGAAAAGTTAGTTAACTTTGCCTGGGAAGACAAACGACATTTGAACGATCAGTTGGGGGCTTTCCATTCCGCAGAGACTCTCTCTTTCTCTCCCAATAGAACAACCTAAAACGCTGTCATGCACTTCACCCCATGTCCATGGAAACCAAACAAAATCTCATGTCTATCTCTGTCTTTTTCTACCTCAGTCTTGTTATCCTCGTTGTCCATTTGGTCGCAATTTAAGACATTAATTCTTGTGATATACATATATATACACACACAAATATATGTAAGCTCTAAGCTCCGTACATTGTTGTCAAAACATATCCTCTCCTAAACCCTTTGGTTGCCTTGAAACAGTAGAGCAAAGCAAACCTTGCAAGACGGACATCGATCATGTGTGACGAAAATATGCCAGGAACTCTAGACCGACACCTTAAACCTGGTAAGTACTATTAATCCGAGATTTGTCATGAAACTTTATATGAAATCAATGTATAGTTTTGATTTGAAGGTTATGTATATGTGGTCTTTCTGAAATTGAAGGAAAATATTTGGCTACGGAGTCATTCCTCCTTGCCGACAAATCACATTCTTGACATGCGTGTAGAAACTTTTCTTTTGTAATTTTAATGAGTTACTTTTACATAGGTGATATTTAGATATGTAAGGAGCCAAGCAATGTCTGAAATTGAATTTACCCATTAACTTCATTTACATTTTCATATGGACTTCATTATTCGGTGCAGTTCTCGAAGAACACTCTGAAGACGAGAGGAAAACAAGGTTTGGGCCTCTTAAGAAGGCAATGAATGCCTCCACCAAGTTAAGGTGTTCCTTGAGCAAGAGGGGTCGAAGGAGCAACAGAGTAATGCCTGTCCCTATTGAGGACAACATTGATGCAGAGGACTTACAGGCCGTGGATGCATTTCGCCAAGCACTTATCTTGGAAGAATTGCTGCCTTCAAAGCATGATGATCATCATATGATGCTAAGGTTACATATTTTATTCCTTGTTTCGGTTCATGTCAACGAGTTTAGATGGTTGAGTTGCCATTATCGGATTATGAATAGATTTGTTATCTTTGTGTATGATGGTACAGATTTTTAAGGGCCAGGAAATTTGACATTGAGCAAACGAAGAAAATGTGGGCTGATATGCTCCAGTGGAGGAAGGAATTTGGTGCTGACACTATTATGGAGGTGTTCTATATAATGCTTTTATTGAACTTGCCGTATACTGTCTAGTTCACTACTATCGATGTGTTTCCTAAACCTTTGCCTTTGGTTATTTTGTTAAGGATTTCGAGTTCAAGGAAATTGATGAAGTCGTGAAACACTATCCACAAGGACATCATGGAGTTGACAAGGATGGACGGCCTGTCTACATTGAGAGACTTGGTCAAGTCGATTCTACCAAACTGTTGCAAGTGACTACAATGGACCGCTACGTGAAGTACCACATACGGGAGTTTGAGAGGACCTTTGTGTGTAAATTCCCTGCCTGTTCCATTGCAGCAAAGAAGCACATTGATCAGAGCACCACTATTCTGGATGTACAAGGAGTGGTATGTAAAAACTGATCTTTAAGTTCAAGTTTGCTTTTAATCTTATTGGAATTTTTTTTTTGGAGATCTATAATATCATTTTACTTTTTCCATCATTCTCATTATGGAAGAGGTAATCGTTAGTTCGTTTAATCGATGCGCAGGGGCTTACAAGTTTAAACAAATCTGCAAGGGAACTTATCCAGTGCCTTCAGAAGGTTGATGGTGACAATTATCCTGAGGTATTGTGTAAATAGCTGTATCATTTCAAGTTTGGCAAGCTTCTTGGTTTACTTATATTACATGAACAATAGCTTTCGTATTCTATGATGCTTATTAAGTCTTTTGTTTACTGTAGACCTTGAACCGTATGTACATCATCAACGCTGGTTCTGGATTTAGACTTTTATGGAACACTGTGAAATCTTTCCTTGACCCCAGGACAACCGGAAAAATCCATGTAAGCATTGTTATTTTGTTTCCCTTATACTTCCTGTTTAAGATTGTGATACAGTAATGGTGCTAAACGAGTTGATGACTATGTTTGTGTATCAGGTTCTGGGAAACAAATACCAAAGCAAGTTGCTTGAAATAATTGATTCTAGGTAAGAATCCTTCTAGGCAAAATATTGTTGAGAATATATTTTCTTCTATTCAAATGTTCATCTTTCTGTACATCACTTAGTCCACATCTAGTTCAAGCTAAGCTTAGCAATCTCCTTGATTCACATTATCTGTATTATAACTTCAAATTTTCCTGTGCAGCGAGCTGCCAGAGTTTTTGGGTGGTAAGTGCACTTGTGCTGATAAGGGTGGCTGTATGCGTTCCGATAAGGGCCCATGGAATGATCCAGTCATCACGAAGGTGATTAACTACTAATTGTGTTTTTTTCTTTATTTGTGTGATATCTTTACTCTGTTCTACATAGTCTCAACTCTCGAATGTGAATAAAAAGCTCACGAAGTTGGGTATTTTGATGAACCAGATGGTTCAGAATGGTGAGGCCAAATGCAAAAGGACAGCTTTGTCAGGCATTGAGAAGGCAGGCTCAAAGGTACTCAGACCTTGCCTCTCTTCTAATCAGTTTTTTATAAATGGTTAATTGCCTGACTTCCTATTTTTTTGCTATTTTCTTTCGGTATTCTACAACATGAAGAGATGTGATTCTCTCAACTCAAAAACTGTTCCAGAGGCTGACAGGAAGTCTCAAGTGAAGCAGCAAAATTTCTCTCCTTCACCTGAAGAAGTAAGCTTAATGAACTTCCATCCATATTTGGAAATTGTTTGTGACTAAAACATGAGAACTTTTTGTGATGCCTTTGTTTTCTTTGCTATTTGCTTCATCTTTGCAGGTTGTAATTACCAAAGAGTGCAATAGGACCTATGAGCACGAGGACTTTATGCCAATGGTTGATAAGGCTATGGATACAACTTTCACTAAATCAATTCAATGTGATAAAATTTCCCCAAACCAAGGTTTATATAATTCTAATAAATGTAATGGCTATTCTTTCAAATGCTGATACTAAATTATATCTGTTTCTCTTCCAAAGCTACAGATAGCTTTCCTGTGCGTTACGCTTGCAGGGATCTGGAAAGACTAAGCAATCAATTTGTTTCTGGAATGATGGTTTTTGTCATGGGTATTTTCACCGTGGTTCGATTGGCACGAAACATGCCTAAGAAACTGGCTGAGGTTGCCCACTATGGAAGCCCTGTTTACTCCACTGGAATGGTGAATAAAGGCCACCAGTTGCCTGCACCAGCCATCTCCAGCAATGAGTACGTGACGATAATGAAGCGCATGTCCGAATTGGAGGAGAAAGTGAATGTTCTCAGCACAAAACCGGCACTCATGCCACCCGAGAAAGAGGAAATGCTGAACACCACTCTCAACCGAATCAACGTGTTGGAACAAGATCTGTCAGAAACCAAGAAGGTAATCCATCTTTATATGTGTATATATATTGAATTCTGTTATTGAAGTTTGCACTCAAAATAATCTTGAGAAACTAAACATAAACATACTCATGCACATTTTCCTTTTGTTTCGTTTCTGCAGGCACTTGAGGACGCCCTTGTTCGGCAAGAAGAGCTTGTAGCCTACCTTGACAAGAATAAGAAGAAAAGGAAATTTGTATGTGACCGCCTAATATTTTCTTTACCAATTCAAGTTATGTGCATTTCAGAGATCTATATTCATGCAAGTGTTTTCATCTTCTTGCTTTTTGGACTGTAATTGCAGAGCCTATTCTGTTGTTGGTGAGGTTTCCACGCAGGCGTTTTTCCAGCAAGGGGCTAGTTTGGTGGATTCGTTGATTCAGGTTTGCATGGTTCGAGGGAGGGATGAAGTGGAAATTTATTGTCTTTGTCAGGCTATTTCCAATGACATGAATTCTACCTTGCATTGGAAAGCTTCAAGCAGTGGACTGAAAACTGGAAACCTCACCGCCTCGGTTTTTTTATTTTCTTCTTAACATCAATGTAGACGCAGCTGTTAAGGAGGGAAGGTTGCACCGAGGGGTTGGTCAAATGTTGTTAGCCAAGGCAAAACCAGAGCAGGATACTTCTCACCAAACATCATGGAACAAAAGAACCTATTTGAAACCAATACAGTTTGCAAAAGATGCAGGTTTTTGCGATCCACATGCTGAATGCAGAAGAGGACTCTGGCTGCGAAGGGGTTTAGATAAAAATGCCAATTAAACAAGTTTGTTGTGTCAAGATCATGCCATACACTATTCCGATGTGTTTTAGTATTCGTGTTTGCATCGTCGTCTCATTTTTGTGTTCATATCAAGTAATCAAAAATTATAATCTGTTCATTTTGTGTTTTGTTAACCTGTTTTTGTTCATGTTTCTGGTTGTTCAGGGCTTCTGCAACAACCTTTTTATATTTTTTTCATTTTTATTGCTTTTGAATTATAGTTATTTGCATTAGAAAAACCTATGGTACTTTTATCTATAGTGCTTCTGCAACAACCATTAAAAGTCTTTAAGCTCCTATCTTTAGCTCCCCAAAAACTGGGGAGAGCATGTTGAAGTCTTCCCAGAGGCAAAAGCCCATGAAAAGATTATGAAAACCCAATATATATGACACGTTTAAAAGTCTTTAAGCTCCAATGTTTAAAATATTTTTTGACATGAGATTAATGGATGACATGAGAGAAAAACATTTTTTTTTTTTTTAATGTCAAAAAGTCATGTCAAATTTAATCTCATCCATTAAAAGTGGAGTAATCTAATGGCCCAAAAATTATGTCAAAACTTGTGTTAAAAATATGGTGCCACAGATCCGCCCCCACATAAATATATACACGGCCATTGGTTAGAGAAAAGTCCCAAATGTTTTATCTTGTGACTCATGTTGTGCCGACACACTCTAAGATCTTGTTATCGATGGACTATACGCCAGCCTGCTATGCGACTTCTACTCCTCTTTGACGATTTCTAACCGGTCGCTGCTTCATTCTTATTTCCTACATCTCATGGTGAGCCAATCTTAACCACCTTGGTGAACCATCAATAAACCATGGACAGTTGTTGACCTATAGAACCTCTTAAATCTCTTGAAATCGTTTTGGCAATTCCCAAGAACTCCACCATGGCAAGAAACCTCTTGCCTCAATGCACTTTGGGTGAGGAGGTGCTCCACACAAAGCTAAAATTGGGTAAATGGGATCTCTTGTGTAGAAACGAGATCCCCATGTCGAATTCCTTGTTCTTGTCTACATAGACCCTTGAATTCTTAACATACATTGATATGCAAATCACACACCAACCCTTGTTGTATAACCCACATGCAGCAGCTAACTTTACTCTTGGATTTATGGACCAATTCCTTCCCAAAATCTTTCCCTTTCATCGGTTCATGGTTTGGACATGTAATAGGCTCCTATTGGGCCCGTTGGTACAACACCCCCGATTTATTACACCAATTTATTTTAGTTATTTTAATATGGTTAGAGTTGAGCGTACAACATGTACAATATAACAGAACTGCTACTCTCCCTATAAAAATTTGAAAGATAACACTAAACAAGAGAAATAATAATAATGTAAAGCAAACAATTAGTTTTCTAGTGACAAGAAAAACAGATAAAATTGAGTAATGCTATAGCTATTCTTACCGCATTTTTATACCACATGATGTGGCACATTACTTGGACATGCCATGTCATATAATTTCATTTTAAGTTTCTTAATTTTCTAATTAAAAACCTTGTAAAAAAATTTGATTAGATCTTACGTTTTATTCTCCACTCCATCTCTTTCTTCTCTCTCCCACCGCCACAGCCTCCTCCCTTCTTGTCCTTCCGGCCATTCTCTGTTCTCCATTATTTTAGTTGATTCTTATTTGATACCATATTTTCTTTCCTTTTTACTTTTATAAAGAATGATTTTATCTAATTGTTTCATTGAAAATTAAAGGAGTCGAAAGGGCCATTGTTCATGGCAAAAAGTTCTCATATCTATCTACGATGATTGGTCTTTTCCTATCAATTGCATTGACCCTGCTGTGTTTTTTTTTTTTTTGTTTTGTTTTTTTTTGGTTTTCCAAACGGTATTTACCTATTTCCAGGCAAAATTACTATAAACTCTTGTGCAACTTCATCGAAAAATGTCTTAACATATTTTTTTTAACCGCATTAACTGACTACATGATGCGACCATTAACTTTAGGAAAATGCTAGGCTTACCACATTTTTCATACCACATTCATACCACCTCTCTAATAGAGGTGGACCCCATTGTATTGGTGGGCTCCACCTCTATTAGAGAGGTGGTATGAATGTGGTATGAAAAATGTGGTAAGCCTAGCATTTTCCTAAAGTTAATGGTCGCATCATGTAGTCAGTTAATGTGGTTAAAAAAAATATGTTAAGACATTTTTCGATGAAGTTGCACAAGAGTTTATAGTAATTTTGCCTGGAAATAGGTAAATACCGTTTGGAAAACAAAAAAAAAACAAAACAAAAATTGGTTTTTGCGTGGAAAACAAAGAATGAGATTGAATGGGGTGGCTTGCATTTCGCATACTGTCTTTCTCTTCCAACAGAAAGCCAAAAGTGGGCAATGCATGCACAGCAGAGACCATGTCAATGGAAATGAAAAATAATCTCCATTCTTGTTAACTCTTTCTTTTCTATATCAGTCATGTCATCCTCGTCCTCCCTCTCTGGCCGTGCAATCTCTGAGATTAATCCGGGCCATATATATGCTTACCACTTTTATCTCCTACCCTCTACATTCTTTTTTTTTTTTCCCTGATACAAAGCAAGTCTAAAGCCGGAAGAAGGGCGGGGGGAGGGCGATAGTTGAACTCTGACCATGGATGTGGGGGTGTAGTGCTCAAAATCACTGAAGTTATTAGCCCCACTTAACCCCCTACATTCTTGTCAAAAGGTATTCTCGCCTACATAATTATTTTTCCCTTCAAATTTGGTAATATTGATCAGGTTTCTTATTAATTTGATTCTAATTACTTCCATGCATGCTACTTACCTGATTGTTTCTGCCTTTGGATTTTTCTTGAATGTTTGTTTTTTGTAATCTTTGATTTGTGTTTTGTTTTGTATGTACAAGGTTATAGGTAGAGGCATATATCCCCCGAGGGCTCTAGTTTTGAGCACCTTATGATACAGAAGTGCTTGACTCTCCTATCCTCTGGCGGTCTCAAAACACTTGAGCAACCTTGTGAGATATATTAATCGTGTTCGATCGACAATATGTCTGGAATATCTGATGTTGACCGAAACCTTAAACCTGGTACGTTATGATATCCAATACTTTGTCTCTCTACATATGTTCTTCCTCAATCTTTGGAATGATCTTCATGATTTTTAGGTTTTTATATGAAATCCCATGTATAATTCTAATGATTGTTATGAAATGAATATGTAGTTTGATGGTTATTTATGTGATCTTCTGAAATTGAATCAATCAACATTTTTGAGTTCTTAGGTTTCCATATTGATGAGGAATAAATACACAAAATTTCCATACAATATTACATTATAGGTTTAGGGTTTGCCCTTTTTTGGGGTCAAAGGTTTAGGGGTTTGCCTAGAGCAGAAAAACACGAACAAGCAATATAGATTAGCTTACGTACATGCTTTAAGTCCTCTTAATCTCTCTCTTATGGTTTAATGAGAGATGTTGATGCGAAAAAGTGGTTCTGCACTTTTGGGCTCAAATTAGTGATGTTGGGCCTTCGGAATGTTTTGGGCCTCAGTAGAGCGTGTGATCTGCAAGATGGGAAACGCACCGATGTGGTATCGGCCGAAAACTCTCCAATGCTTAAGTTAGTTCAGATTTAGTAAATTAAACTGACAGATCAATAGACAGTATGCCGTTGGGATTGTTGCCCTCCTTTATAGGCCTTGGGAGGTGTGCATATTGTTTAGAATTTCGATGTGGGACTGTAGACATCGGTTGTGAGCATGCCACGTGTCCCGGAAAAGGGAGTTGCCCTAATCGCAGGATCGGTAGGCCAGGTGCCGAAGGCTACCATAACCATGCCCTACCTTGTCCACATGTCTTTTTCCAATAGGCCGTTCATCTTGGTATAAACAAGAGATAATGTAGTTGAGGGATAGAGTAAGTTCATGTCCTACTCCAGTCATGGTTTTTATGCAATCTCCTCATTTACACCAACCTGGTTAGGTTAAAAGAAAAACACAATTAGGATCAAGAATCTAATGATTCAAGTGGTTGACAGTGTGTGTGATGAAGTATTTTCCACTACCGATTAGCGTATAGAGCATATGCTAATCGAGTTCTAGTCCCACTACTTAGAATTTAAGTCCATTCATTACAGCATCCTCAATGCATATGTAAATGGGGATGGAGATGTGACTGATTTTCATCCCCAATGGCTTTTGTTCACTCCAATGGACCGGGAAATGGAGTTGTAAAACTCCCACCTCATCAATAGACTAAAAAAGAGATGGAAGGATGCTGCAACTTATTTTACATCCCCAATTGGAGGGCCACACACCGAGAAAAAGAGAGAGTACGGAATCTTGCACAGTAGAGCGAAATATGGATGTGAATGTGGAGTAAGAAATAAGTTTAGAGCATCTTCGATTGGAGTGTAAATATGATTTACATCACTTTTACATCTCCATCCGAGTTTAAATCTTCCCATTAGGGTGAAAAATCTATTTATATCAGTCAGAGATGTAAATGGAGATATAAATTTTATAATTTATCACAAAAATGTGTATTGAAAAAACAATAATTTCAAAAAAAAACTTGGTAGATATTTGCTTCTAACAGGCCGCCCTAACAATACAAAGGAATCAAAAAAAGATATTCGCCGTTCGATTGAACTTGCCGCTGCCGTTCGAAATAAGAAACATAAAAATAAAAAAAGATCCTATTTCGCGCGCGTCGGATTGAGTGGCCTTCGCTGCCATTTCCATGCGCCAGGAGCGGCCTGTTCAACCAACGCGCCACCTTGGTGGCCTTTGCTGCCGCCAGACCACCTCTAATGGAGGAAATTGTGTTGCCCACCATTTCTTGTGGTTAAGAGATAGAGTGCTCTCAGGGCCTTTTGGGATCCACCAAGCATGTTTTGGGGTCATGGGTTCAGATTTTTGGTTTCAGCCCAATACATTTTTGACAGAAGAAGATCAATAATTGTTTCTCTTGATCAAATCTCAACACAACTGGGTGAGTTGCAGGCAGAGATGTAATTCTTTTCTTTATATTTGGAGAGAAAAATTGTTCAAGAATACACCCATTACTTTAAAAGTAGATATTTCCTTCTGAATAGACATAACAGTACAAAGTAACCTACAAAAAGGATATTCTTTTGTTGAATTTGTTTAGCTAACATTCATCGTCTCAGTTTTGGTTTGTTGGGTTTTCTTTTTCCCATTCAAATCACTCATTTTCATTTTGTTCTTGATTGCATTTTGATTTCATAATATCTAGGAGAAAATGGAAAAGTAAAAGCCTTGTGTTTGTGGGTCAATTTATTTTCACTTGTTCTCTGTGTAGATGAAAACTCTGAGGATGAGAAGAAAACAAAGCTTGGGTCTTTTAAGAAGGCAGCCAACATGATTACAAACTCCTTCAATAAGGGTCGAAGGAATAGCAAGGTAATGTCTTTCCCTATGGAGGATGACATTGATGCAGAGGAGCTAAAGGCAGCTCAGGAACTCCGGCAAGCACTTATCTCGGAAGAACTACTGCCCTCAAAACATGATGATACTCATATGATGCTAAGGTTACACATTCTCTGTTTTGATTGCTACTAACATTGATTTGTGATGCCTGAGTTGCTATTATCCGGTTATGAATAGATTGTTTGTTATATTCTTGTATGATGGTACAGATTTCTAAGGGCCCGGAAATTTGACCTTGAGAAAACAAAGCAAATGTGGTCTGACATGCTACAGTGGAGGCAGGAATTTGGTGCTGACACTATTATGGAGGTATTCTTCAATGCTTTTATCAATCTGGGAATATAGTGGAGACAATTTAGCCTGACTATCTAATATGTGTCTGAAATTTCCCCTTTGGTTATTTCCTTGTTAAGGACTTTGAGTTCAAGGAAGTTGATGAAGTCTTGAAATACTATCCACAAGGGCATCATGGAGTTGATAAGGATGGACGACCGGTCTACATGGAGAGACTTGGTCAAGTTGATTCTAACAAACTGATGCAAGTGACGTCAATGGAACGTTATGTGAAGTACCACATACGGGAGTTTGAGAGGACCTTTATATGTAAATTCCCTGCCTGTTCCATTGCAGCAAAGAAGCACATTGATCAGAGCACCACTATTCTGGATGTACAAGGAGTGGTACGTGAAAACTCATTCTTTTAGTTTAGGCCAATTGGAGATACTCAATTATACTGACGACAAAGTGATCTTTTCATTGAGTTAATGATGGAGATCTGCTGGTTGCATCTAAATTAGTGGGGTGTCAAACATGATGTTATTACATTTAAATTTTTCCATACTTTTAATTTTAATTTTTAAGAGAGGTAATAGGTATTCGTATAAACGGTGTGCAGGGGCTTACAAGCTTAAATAAATCTGCAAGGGAACTTATCCAGCGCCTTCAGAAGGTTGATGGTGACAATTATCCTGAGGTATCCTGTAAAAAACTGTATCATTTCAAGTTTGCATGTAACAAGCTTCTTGGCTTGGTTCCGTAGCGTGAAAGGTAGTCTTTGTATTCTGTGGCGCTGATTGAATCTTTTGTTTGACGTAGACCCTGAACCGTATGTTCATCATCAATGCTGGTTCTGGATTTAGGCTCTTATGGAACACTGTCAAATCTTTCCTTGATCCCAAGACCACTGCAAAAATTAACGTAAGTTTCGGCCATTTGTTCACTATAAATTAGTGCTCATTTGAAATTTATGATCTAGTACTGTGCTAAAGGTGCTGGTGATTATGCATTAGGTTCTTGGAAATCAATACCAGAGCAAGTTGCTTGAAATAATTGAGGCTAGGTATGTGTGTCCTTTTAGGAAAAATATATTTTCTTCAGTCCTGTTCTTCATCTTGCTGTACGTTAATCTGTATCTAGTTCAATCTAAGCTAATCAAGCTTCCTGTGATAACACTCTTTCTTATAATGAACCTGCAGCGAGCTGCCAGAGTTTTTGGGTGGTACTTGTACTTGTGCTGATAAGGGTGGCTGTATGATATCTGATAAGGGCCCATGGAACGATCCAGAAATAATGAAGGTGATTTTCTACTGTTAGAACATGAAATAATTATTGACCACAAACCTAACAACTTAAGCTTTTGGGGATTTTGTTAAATCACCAACCTAAGTTCGAATCCCTCAATTACAACCTCTCAATATTAGGTTGAATTCAACATGTTGGGCTCTAGTGTTGTTGGAAAGAGGCCCACATGTGAGGGAATGTTAGAATAATAAATAATTGTTGGCCCACAATTTAACAGCTTAGCCTTTGGAAAAGTGGTAAACCAACTAATTTTATCAACAAGTATTTGACTTTTCTTTGATTGTGACATCTCCTAATTCATAGTGTAACGTGAACAAAAGATCACAAAATCTGTTATTTTCATGAGGCAGATAGTTCAGAGTTATCGTGAGGCCAAAAGCACAAGCAACACTCAATCAGGTGATATGGAGGAGAAAGAAGAGAAAGAAGAGAAAGAGGAGAAAGAGGAGAAAAAGGAGAAAGAGGAGAAAGAGGAGAAAGAGGAGAAAGAGGAGAAGACAATCTCTGAACCAGAGAAGACACTCTCTAACAAGGAGAAGATAATCTCTGAAGATGATCAGGCTTGCACAAATGTATGGAGACCTTGGCTCAAGTTTGTGTGTTTTTTTATTTATTTATTATTTATTTATGTGTTTAACTGTCTTCTCTCAGTTTTTATAAATGATCAATTTCCTGACTTAATATTTCTTCGTTATTTTCTCTTGGTATGGTCCTGCATGAAGAGAATGGATTCTTTCTGCTCAGACACCTTTTTAGAGGCTGAAATGCATGTGGATCATCTCTCCTCTGTGCCTGAAGATGTAAGCTTACGGGACTTTCATGTTCCATCTACATTTTACAATTGTGACCCAAACATGTGAATTCTGTGATACCTTTGTTTTCTTTACTAGTTTCAGGCTGTTAGCATCCTAATATAAGTTTTGCTACTGAAAAGAGGGTGGCTATTTGCAACTTCATCCCTTTTTCTTTCATATGCATAAAACTTTAGGTTTATAACCCCTTTCAAGCATCACTGGGCAACTTGTTTTGTAGCTTCTTGCAAGCAACTATGTGTTTTTTAATCACGAAAACCATTTGCATTTTTAGATTTACCTACTTATGGATTAGTTAACACTTAACTCTCAACCTCTCTCCTTTTCAAAACTTTTTAGTCTTATTATAGTTCAGCTTAGCCTCCATGAGGATAAAATTCTGGATCCGGCACTTGCTGGGCCATTATCATTTTATGTTTTGATTTGCTTCATCTTTTGCAGCTTTTAACTCCCAGAATATGTAATAGCCCATATTTTGAGGCAATGGTTGACAAGGGAACTGAGAAAGAGGCCGAAAAGCTGAACGCTGCTCTCAACCGACTCAGTGCCTTAGAACAAGAGTTGTCCTCAACCAAGCAGGTAATCATCTTGGTATTCTTGAATTCTGTCGGTGAAGTTGCATACAAAAACAAAAATTAAGGAACAGAAACTAAAGATCCAAATCAAGAGAAAAATAAATGTAATCAAGTACATTTTCTTTATGTGCCTTTTCTTGTCAAGGTTGAGACTCAAAAGGAGGAAAAGCTGAAGGCTGCTCTTGACCGCGTCAATGCTTTGGAACAAGAGCTGTCAGAAGCCAAGAAAGTAAAATCTTGATACTCTTGAATTATTATAGAAGTTGCGTACAAAGTTAAATCCAGAAAAAGAAAATCTAGACATTTTCTTCTTGTTTCATTTTTGCAGGCACTTGATGAAGCCCGCCATAAACAGGAGGAGCTTCTAGCCTCGGTTGACAAGGAAAAGAAGTTTGTATGTAACTTATTAATAGCTAATATCTGCTTGGCCAGTTAAACTTTATGTCCATCTCAGTTCTATTGCAAGTTTATATTTTGACCTTCTAGTGTTTTGGACTGTAATTGCAGAGTTTATTCTGTTGGTGAGGGGGATCAACGTAAGCATTTATCTCGTGTGGTTGATTTAGTAGTGCAAGTTTGCATGGTTCTCATGAGGGAAGAAGTGGAAATGTCTGCCTATCTGTGTTGGGCTATTTGGGATGACAGGAATTCTACCTTGCATTATTCATGTTATAACAGCAGGCATTGTTGTTGTGCGAGGAGTTCCAAATTAGCAACCGAAAACCATCCTCCAATATGCAAAGTACTCCTCACAAAAGTAAGAGCCTCCTCCTGGGTTGTTTTATAAGATCCAATGTATATAACTAAGGGAAGACAAAACATGCACCTAGGGGTTGGAATAACTATTAGAGATGCGGGACGTGATGTTGGCAGCTATTGAAAAACCGCTACAGAGGTACTTTTCACACAAAAAAAACTATAGAACTACAGGGCTATTTGGAAGGAATACAATACAATTTGCAAAAGATATTGCAGGGTTTGGCTCAGGAATTGTATGTGATATGGATGAGGGAGAACATATGGATGAAGGGTCCTATGTGGCTATTTCCGTGCCTTGCAAGTAATGCATCTGCAATTGTAATATCTTCATATAAAGAGAATTTTCAGTTTTGAGATTAAAAGAAAAATAGTAATTAGGCTCTAGTCCACAGTTTCAACTCTTCGTTTGTAAACAAAAAACAAAAAAAAATTTGTATCAAATACTTAATTAGATGCGGTTCTTACTTTTTCCTTTTTAATATTTAGGTCCCTTGTGAAGTTCTGGAGTTCAAATATTATGTCGCCTCTCCCCCCAACTTGTTATGCAAACTATATTTTTTATATTTAAATTTTAAATTTTCATATCTTGAAACATAACCCTGTAAGTGTTTAAGCCTCGCATCATGTAGGGCCGAAAATGAGATTTTATTTATAGAACCAAAATATTTTCATGAATTGGTTTAATCATCATTGAAATTAAATTAAGAACAAAATTAAACTAAGAGTTTCTTACCTAATCATCATTGGAATTTTAATTTAGATAACATGGAGAACTGATATAGACCCTAAAAGGTACACCAAAATTTGACCACAAAGATAAACCAAAATATTGCAACAAATCAAGATGAAAGCATCTTAATATAGCATGACATTGCTGAAATAACTCAAATGTTTGACTTAAATCTATGATTGCCATAACCCTTTCCTAACCCTAGCTAACTAATTGAGCAGCTGGCAGAACAATTGCAAAGCACCACGATGAAAACTTAGTGGAGCACCACAATTCACAATATCCAGAGGTGCATGACTTCAATATCTTAAAAGAAAGAAGAAAAGTGGTTGACTATCTCCTCCAACCTTCAACAACCAACTGAGTAGGAGTTCTAATGACTAAAAATAGAATAAACCCTAGAAGCAAATGACACGAAACCATTTTTAAAAACCAGCATCTCAGATTTTCATGTAAATTTATGTAGGTCAAATTAATATGGTTAGAGTAAGGGATGCAGATCAAGGAATAGATAAAATCTATTTCTAATCCCGTATGATACTTTTCTCTCAATCTAATAAGTGCTCTTTTTAATATCGGCACTCCAAAAAAAGTCATCGTACACTCATCCGAGACAAAAAAGAACATAAGGAAATTACAATTCAAGCAATGCCGATAATAGTCACATTTCCTTATTTATCATTTTTAATAACATAACAAAAAAGAGATAAAATCATCAAGAAATTTGTGTAGTAGATTTTGCGTGGGAAAAGGTGGAAGCCGTTAGGAAAAGTTAGTTTACTTTGTGCGAGGGAAAAAGAAAGAGAACGAACGGAGTGGCTTGCATTTCGCATACTCTCTTTCACTGCCACCAGAAACCCAAAACAACAAAAATGGTCACCATGCACTGCACAGAGTCAATGGGAAAGATGAGACAAAATCTCTCTTTTTTGGTGCCAATCTTTCTTTTCTAAATCAGTCATGTCATCCTCGCTGTCTCTCTGGCCGTCCAATTCCAGAGAAATCCGGGGTCATATATATGCTTACCACTTTCTCTCTTGGCCACCTACATTTTGTCACAAAGGTAATCATTCTTTCCCCTTCTACACCCAACTCTTGTTTTCCTCTCTCTCTCTCTCTCTCTCCATATCCCATTCATATGCTAGCTAGCTTCTGATTCCTCAACTTTTTGAATCTCCATAGCTACCTTTCTTTTGGGTAATTGTCATGTTTCTTTCTCGATAAATATATCAATGCATGAATATGTGGTTTAGATTCACGGTCTGACAACATAAGTTTGGCAAGAGAACATTACCTTTTCAATGTGCTAAGAAGATTAATGTTTTGTCCTTGGCTTTGTCTTGAATGTTTTGGTTTCTTGATATTTTTGGTTTTTTTGGTGTACAAGGTTATTAAGGTGTAGGCTATATCCCCTGAGGGCTCTAGTTTGAGCAAGTTTTGATATATGAGTGCTTGACTATCCTATCGTTCGGCTGTCTCAAAGGTAGAGCAACCTTGCAAGATATCAACATGTGTGACACAATGCCCGGATCTCTTGACCGACACCTTAAACCTGGTAAGTTGTTGCAACAAATCCAATATTTTTGTCTACATGTATTCTACTCAACCTTAAAGCTTCAATGAAATTAATCAATGTTGGAGTTGTAAATGTTTTGCATCTTGTAGGAGTAAGATCATAATTTCAAAAAATTTCCTTAATCAAGATTAAGATTGCTGGTTGAGTTTTTCTTCTTGGAAACCAAAACAACATAATCAGGGATCGTTTTCTTTTTCTATTTAGCAGCATTCTCATCCTTTTGTTCATAGACAATGGGAATAGCATATGTGATATGCATATAGAAAATGGTTCAACAATGAAAAATGTATTAGGTTGTAGAAATTGTTTAGCTTATTGATGGTTTGGAAATATGACTGTTTGGTTTTCAGTTCACGAAGAAACTTCTGAGGATGAGAGGAAGACAAGGCTTGGGTCTCTTAAGCAGAAGGCAATCAATGCCTCCTCCAAGTTTAGGCATTCCTTTACTAAGAAGGGACGAAGAAACAGCAAGGTAATGTCTGTCCCAATTGAGGACAACATTGATGCAGAGGAGTTACAGGCAGTGGACGCATTTCGCCAAGCACTTATCTTGGAAGAACTACTGCCCTCAAAACATGATGATCATCACATGATGCTAAGGTTACTTATTCCATGCTTTGGTTAGCATTGACGATCGATTAGAGATGATCGAGTTTCTGTTAGTTATGTGATTGCTTACTAAATTTTTATTTTCACGTACGATTGTGCAGATTTTTAAGGGCCAGGAAATTTGACATTGAGAAGGCAAAGCAAATGTGGGCTGATATGCTTCAGTGGAGAAAGAATTTTGGTGCTGACACTATTATGGAGGTATTCTATAATATGCTTTTATTGAACTTTCCATATCCTGGAGATCGTCTCTAGTTCGCTACTATGTTTGTGCTTCCTAAATCTTTCCTTTGGTTATTTTGTTAAGGACTTCGATTTCAAGGAAATTGATGAAGTCTTGAAGTACTATCCCCAAGGACATCATGGAATTGATAAGGAGGGACGACCTATCTACATTGAGAGGCTTGGTCAAGTCGATTCTACCAAGCTGATGCAAGTGACAACAATGGATCGTTATGTGAAGTACCACGTCCGGGAGTTCGAGAGGACCTTTGTGTGCAAATTCCCTGCATGTTCCATTGCAGCAAAGAAGCACATTGATCAGAGCACTACTATTCTGGATGTCCAAGGAGTGGTACGTGAAAACTTTGTGTCTTAATCAGATTGTCGACAAACTAAGCTTTTAGTTCAATTTCAGATTGTAGCTAGATATTGAAGATCTGCTAGTGAGCACATCTAGTGTGTGGGATGTTAAACATAATTGTTATATTGTTGTAGAGTTGGAGGAGACAATTTCATTTTTCTTTTTCCATCCATTTTAATCTCAAAAGAGGTAATTTTTAGTTCATGTGGTCGATGTGCAGGGGTTTAAAAATTTGAACAAGTCTGCAAGGGAACTTATCCAGACCCTTAATAAGATTGATGGTGACAACTATCCTGAGGTATATTATATCCTGTAAATATCATTTCAAATTTCACAAAACAAGCCTCTTGGTTTTGCTTGGTCTAGCATGTGTTGAAGAAAGTAAAAATGCCACATCAGAAACTAGACAAAATATATATGAGTGGGTCCACTACTAATAACACCGAGGCCTTTTGAGATATAACCCCACACCTACTGAGCTATGCATGTCATGTAGTTTTCGTATTTTCTGACACTGATTGAAAGCTTGGTTCACTGTAGACCCTCAACCGTATGTTCATCGTCAATGCTGGTTCTGGATTTAGGCTTTTATGGAACACTGTGAAGTCTTTCCTTGATCCCAAGACCACTGCAAAAATCAATGTAATCATTTGTCTTTTCTCTACCTTAACCTAGTGCTAACCTATGATTTTGATATGTTATGGTGCTAAACGATTTGATGATTACACTCAGGTTCTGGGAAACAAATACCAGAGCAAGCTGCTTGAAATAATTGACGCTAGGTAAGTATCCCTTCAGGGCAAAATATATTTTCTTTCAACACATTTCATCATTCCATATATCTTTTAGTCTATATCTAGTTCAAGCTAAGTTTAGCAAGCCTTCTGATTCACATGATGCTGTAAGATATCTGTTTAGTAACCGAATATCCTATTAACTTTGAATTTGTGCCATAACACGCTGTGATTATATTTGATACAGCGAGCTGCCGGAGTTTTTGGGCGGTACATGTACTTGTGCTGATAAGGGTGGTTGTATGCGTTCTGATAAGGGTCCATGGAATGATCCAGATATAATTAAGGTGATTTACTTGGTTTCTCTTTAATTTTAGTATTTTTTGTCTATCCTTCATAGTCTAAAATGAACAAAAGATTAAAATAAGTTATTTTGATGAGCCAGATGGTTCATAATGGTGAAGGAAAATGCCCAAGGAAAAGTTTGTCAGGAATTGAGGAGAAGATAATCTCTGAAGATGAGAATGCATACTCAAAGGTACTCAAATCTTGGCTCAAGTTTGCCTTTCATTTTGTGTGTTTATGGCCTCTCTTCAAACTGTCTTCTCTCAGTTTTTCTAAACGATCGATCACCTAATTTCTGTATGCTTTTTGCATGCTACCATATGAAGAGATATGATTCTCTGACATCGAAACCCGTTCAAGAGGTTGACGTGCATTGCCAAGTGGAGCATCAAAGACTCTCTCATGTGCCTAAGGAAGTAAGCTTAGCAGACTTTCTATCCACATTTCACAATTGTGACTGGAACATGACAATTCTGTGATACTTTGTTGTCTTTGCTACTTTTAGCATCATACTCTTAACTTGTTCAGCTCACAAGGGGGTGGTTTTGCACCTTCGTATTTTTTTCATATCAGTCGAAATTCAGTTTTACAGCCATTTAGAAAATAATGCGGATTCTGCAGTGCTGAGTCGCCTTTTATCAGTTGATGTGCTCACTTGCTTCCTATTCTTCAGGTTCCAATCGCCAAGAAGGGCAATCGGGGCTATGAGCATGACAACTTCAAACCAATGGTTGGCAAGACTGTTGATTCAACTTGGCCTAAATCAGTTCATTATGATAAATTTGCCCTTGGTGGAGGTATATATTATAAAATTAATCCAATCAAGTATAATGCTTGTTCTTCCAAATGTTGATACTAATATATTTCTTTTTCTTCCAATGCTACAGATTGCTTCTCTGTGCATGATGCTTGCAAGGTTCCTGAAGGACTAACCAATCAATTACTTTCTGCAACCATGGCCTTTATCATGGGTATTGTTGCCATGGTTCGATTGACACGAAGCATGCCAAGGAAACTCACTGAGGCTACCCTCTATGGAAGCCCTGTTTACTACAATGGAATGGTGGTTAAAGGCCAACCGTTGCCTGCACCTGCCATCTCCAGCAATGACTACATGAACATGATGAAACGCATGGCCGAATTGGAGGCGAAAGTGAATGCTCTCAACTCGAAACCCGCGGTCATGCCACCCGAGAAAGAGGACCTGCTGAATGTTGCTCTCAACCGAGTCAATGCCTTGGAACAAGAACTGTCAGCAGCCAAGAAGGTAATCCATCTATTTCAAGATATATATTTCGTTTCTTCTATTGAAATTTGCATTTCCAGAAGCTAAATGTGAACATGTTCATTTTTGTCGTTTTGTTTCGTTTTCGTAGACACTTGAGGACACCCTTGTTCGACAAGACGAGCTTATAGCCTTGCTTGAGAAGAAGAATAAGAAAAAGAAGAAGAGGAGCAAGTTTGTATGTGACTGAAATACCTTATTTTTGCTTAACCAGTTCAAGTTATGTACATTCCATATGAAGTTAAGTGTTCTCACCGTCTTGGTTTCTTTTTTTGGATTGTAATTGCAGAACCCTTTCAAATGGTAAGGTGATAGCTCCGGTGATTCGATTGGATGCCCTGGATGAACCACTGAACATTCAGTGTTAGCTGCTGGTGGCGACGTTTCGATTGTCAGCCCCATGGATGCTTTGTCAAATTGCATTCCCTCTATGTTTGCTAGTTTGGTACTGTAAACTTAAAAAGCTTTTGTACATTATTGTGCAGTGTGCCATTCCATTCAAAGTTGTGTATATTTTGACTTAAAATGGGCACCGCTCTAGTTTGACAAAGATTTCCAGGGTCCTCCTCTCCAGAGTCTAGCTTAGTTCCAGTTCAAAGTGCAAAGATAGTTGTTCTACTAATAAAAGGTGGTAAAATGAGTAAACACTAGACAGGCAAAACGTTTGTGGGATAATAGACAGATAAAGGAAGACCATGAAAGCTAAGAAAAATAAGGAAAAAGAAACATTAATGAATTATGATAATGAGTATTTGGAACCATATCAGCACAGTTAGGTGAAAATTCTAACCATTTAAAAACAAATCAGTTTTTTTTTTTAATGACTAATTGTTATTGACACTTCAAAAAACTCATCACGCACGTGTAAAAGTGCAATTTTCAGTCTTACAATTATTGAATTATTGAATTACTGAATTGTGGTATGTAACTTAGAAAGGCTTTCTTTAAATAATGGAATTACTGAATGGTATACCCTAGATCATTATCATTTATCATTATTATGCTAAATAAAATGTATAAAATTGCAGAATGACTTTCTTTAAAATTTCTGTGGTCGATTATCTTTTAAGTCTTAGTGAATATCTAAGGGCCCGTTTGATAACCATTTCAATTTTAGATTTTCATTTTCATTTTTTGTGCTAGAATATAGAGGAAAATGAGAGTAAGAATAGGAGTGAGGATGAGATTGAGAGAGAGGATGGGAGGGAGAAGTAACAAAAGTGAAAACAAAAACTTGAAAGTGAACAATTTCAAGTAGATTTCACTTTTTAGTTTTTGTTTTCCCTTTTATTAGTCCTCCCTCCCATCCTTCCCTCTCATCTTCCATCTCAATCCCATCTCCACTTTCATTATCATTTCCATAGTTGCAAAAGTGGAGATATCTTTAAGTCTTTGTTCGATTATTTCTCCTCTTATTTTCCTTGTTTTTTTTCTTCTATAGTTGATGAAAAGTGCACCAAAATAGCCATAATTATAATCGAATCTCTGATTACTCTTTTCAACATTTCCCAGAAAACGGTATAAGATTAAGCAAATCAAACTGCACAAACATCTTTCAAGAAAATAAAACTCAATTGTCATTTTCCGTATCGTTCTCACTAAGCCAGAAGTGGCATCATTTCAGATGATATATTGTCTGTGAGATCAAAGGTTGGTATGTCAAGTCAAGTCAAGTACTCGTGTAGGGATCACATCTTCGAGAAACAGCTTAGCAAATCCTGTTTCGGTAGAGTCTCTCTCCATCAGGCAACACTTCTACCAGCAGAAAAACTTCTTTTTCTGATGACCAGCAGCAAGAAAAGTTCTTAGAACTCATGAATTGTGGAAATAGAAAAAGAACAAAAAGAATAAATCTACGCGGATAGACTGTGCGGTCAACTTACCTGGAGCTTGGCTTCTTCTTGCCGGTCGATATAAGCCAACAGCTCTTCTTGCCTCATCAAAGCTTCATGTAGAGCCTGCTCCACATGAAACACAATCAACATATGCATCATTCTGAGATGCTGAAACAAGTTCAGTAACAACCGGAAAAAAAAAAAAAAAAAAAACCCCCAAAGTTGAACATATGCATCATTTATATAAAAATGCAATGTGGTTGCATAAGGCATGTGATTGCATTCTTTCCTGGAAAGAAATAAAAATGCAATGTGACCCAAAGTTGAATACGTTAACTGCAATAATATGATTTCACAGGTGGAAGGCTCCCATTGTGTTGAGTATTCCTACACATCAAATAAAACATTAATACCTTTTTAGTAGCAATTAACTCTGCTTCCAAGGCATCCACACGACAAACAGCAGCATTCAGCAATTCCTCTTTCTCATAAGGCATCTCAGATGGTTTAGCTTGGAGCATGTCAACCTTCTCCTCAAGCTCCACTAGCTTTTTCAGTACAGAGGGTAGAAGATCTGCCCCAGTAAATGGTGCTGTTGGTGAAGGAGGACGGCCCTCTTCTTTGTTTGTTGCATCAAAAGCGAGTTTGGGAATACTTTGATTGTGATTATCCAATGTGTTAGGAAGCTTCTTAGTTACTCGGGAAGCCACTGAGCGGAAGAGAGTGAGAAAAGTCAGAAAGAAGGCCATAAGCGCTACCAAAACCCGACCTCGAATTCCTTCTGGATTTGTAGGGATGTCAGGTTGTTGAAGTGTCCCTGAAGTAAAAAGATCATTTCATTTTCTTGATTTATATAATGTCAGGTACCAACAAAAATATTAAAAGAAAAAAGGTGAAGAGACTATATAAGTTGTGACTAAAAGAAAAAAGCATACTATCAAGTATTGCAAGGGTTCTTTTACAAAGCATTTAGTTGTGACTATATAAGTTCAATACCATATAATCTAGCATCTGGACTTGGCCAACAGGTAAAGGAAGAATTGGAGTGGTATGTCCCAAGTTCAAAACAGGAACATGCAAAATGATGAGGTGAAAAAGTATGAGTTTGCTAGAGTCAAATTCCAAAACAGATTTCCCATTTCTGTGAAGGATACACTTGGTAAAAGTTACAATATCCTTAGCACCTTGAAAAATCTATAATCTCTCATTCAACTAATTGTTGAGAGACCAAGATAGTTGTTGCCTGGTTGCTCAGTTTGAACAGTAATGAACTAATTCAGAAAAATCAATTATTGGTACTCAAGAGTCAAGACCACGGCATTCTGATGAGTGCTTTCTAATATTTCCTGAAGAAGGTATAGTACGTATGGAAGTATACAGATTCATTTATAGTTTTGCTGTATTCCATGTATTCAGGTCCTTTTTTCTTTTTGTAAAAAATAGGCATTTTCTTCAGGTTAAAGTCATCTGTTTCCTGTGTTCCTATCCATGGTTCCTAAGTTGTTATGCAAAAACTACACTAATATATACATAATGCGAACAATTCAGTACTAGATATACCAACATCAGTATTAAACTAAATAAATTCCCATTTCAACATCATTTTAAGGCTGTTTAGTCTTAAAACTATTTAGTTTTAATAATTGTTCGTATAACAACAATAAGATAAATTCAAAAATGTTATATTGGCAGCAGAGACCAGGCTAGACTTGCTGACCTTTGGCAGCATGGATTCTCTGGAGGGCCACTTGCTTTTTCCAACCAGCATCAACAGCTTTGTCAACCATAGGAACATATTCATCATAACCCGAGAAGCTACCTGCACAGTTTGCCTTGCCAACGACCTTAGCCTGCATATTTCATTATACCACATTAAAGAATACACAATTCACAATGAGTACAACCAACAATAAAGAGAGTAATAAGTTTCCAGTCTATACTTGTTAATTAAATAGCAATGCATTCTTAACTACCCAATAACCCTTAATTCACAACCAATTCCAGCACACTTAATCAATGATCACTTATCACTACACCAGCCATTGCCAAATAATGCAATGCAGACAAAATTCACAAAACATACACCATTTTTCATTCTTCCACTCACAAACATATTTCGATTAGAATCCTTCTATAAGAAAAAGAAGAAGATATAAATAAAATAAGTATACGAACAACATTGAACAAGGAATCAGTTTCGATGTAATTATTTCGCGCTTAGCTCTGTTTTGCAATCTTCGTTGTGTAGCTAGCATCTATTAGCTAGACCAGTGGACAACTTCTCCACTGTATTGTATTGTTCTTTATTAAGTAAAGTATATTTCTTATCAAATAAAACATTGAACAAGCAATCGACCAAAGGTTCAAACAAAAACTTAACATCAAACTAACAAACAGCTACAATTTTTTTTGAAAAGACAAACAGCTACAAACTCATCCAACTAATATAACAAAGCAGCTAAAACAATCTCTAAGTAACTATGGGGAATAACAAATAATGGAATTTCCCGACCATCATAGGAAACCGAAGCCACGATGATGCCCAAAAAAATTTATCCCACAAGAAAACCACCTCCTGCCTCCATTCTTTTCAATGGTGAACCCTAATTGTTTCTATTTATACTAAGCCAAAGGGAATTACCACAACCACTTCCCTAGAAGAGCCACATTTCCACTTTCCAAATTGCCCCACCCCTAGACCTGCATTCTTCCCGGAACAGGACAAAATTTTCCACCTCACCAAGCAATCCACATTTCTCTTCTTCCTTCTCAACTAGTCTTAAAGAGACAAACCAAATACTTGTACAAAATAAGTTCCTTTCTTCCATTAATCAGTTAAAATAAGTTATAAGCATCAAATAGCATAAATGAATATATTAATCATAATAATTACATAAAGAAAAGGTTAAACCTACCTCTTCACGAACAGGAGTCAATCGAAGATGTGAATAATTCTTCAAAGCTTTTGGGGATGCAATATCTTCCGCTTCAGATCCTGACTCGGCAGTGGATGTATCACTACCCTTTACCTGCTTCAATACATAATCCCCCAAAAAATGTGAAAAACTGATGCAAAAGTAACTCACTTTTTATTCTGCAATAAGTGAAAAGTATAGACGTTTTACCATTGGATAGTGTGGCTTAGCATAAGCAAGAACCTTCCCTTCACTGTTTAGAACTTTAACAACTTGCCTTGCACGTCGTGCTTCACCATTAAGAACCATCTGAAACAAAGAGAACATGACATCAGTAACAAACAAATATAACTTGCAATAAAATTTGGCAATATACCAGGTAAAAGTTAACAGAACATGCAGCACAACAGAAATCTAGAGGGCAGGAAATAACCTTCAGTATCTCAGGGTTTTTCCATGGCCCCTTATCAGATCGAAGGCAACCTCCCTGATCTGCACAGGTACAGCTGCCACCCAGAAACTCTGGCAACTCACTGCATATTTTGAAGAAATATCTTTAAGTCTCAAGCTAAGTGCAATTTATAAATGAACAATAGGAAACATAATGATCATCAGAGAAGACAAAAATCATCAGAGGTCGCAATGTTTTATTGCCTATCACAGATTCAGCTACGATTCCACATGATAAACAATCTTGATTCACATCACAGTTAGAACAAGAATAATACACTAAATCTCTGTGTGTAAACATAGCAAGGTTATAGCATTACAGATGACAGACACACTGCTGCCCCCTCACCTGGCATCTATTATCTCAAGCAACTTGTTCTGGTATTTGTTTCCAAGAACCTAAAATGTTGCATACAAAGAAAGAAAAAAAGGGATTATAAATACATGACATGCCAGTGAAACCAAAACTTTAATTGCTATAGTTCCAATACAAGGAAAAAGTAATTTCTACATACATGAATCTTTGATGTTGTTCTCGGATCAAGAAAAGTCTTTACAGTGTTCCACAGAAGCCTAAATCCAGGACCAGCGTTAATGATGAACATTTGCCACAGGGTCTGTACCAATTAAGAATATTTAATTTTAATTTATAATATATATAACAAGTAGCATCGACAATCTGCAACTGCATAATTAAAGTTTTAAACGTAAATGATTGCACACCTCAGGGTAATTGTTACCATCAACATTCTGCAACCGCGTAATTAAATCTCGTGCAGACTTTGTAAAATTCTTGAAGCCCTAAAAACATTTAAAGCAAACAAATATAGAATCAATAGACATTATGATTGCACTGAATATGCAGATTAATTATATTAAATGGTTGATTGCAGGCAACATACCACGCCTTGAACATCTAAAATTGTAGTGCTTGAATCTATGTGCCTCTTTGCAGCAATGGTGCAAGCTGGAAACTTTATTGCAAAGCTTTTCTCAAACTCCTGAACATGGTATTTCACATACCGATCCATAGTGGTAACCTGCATTAGTTTGTTGGGATCTACTTTACCCAACCTTTCAATGTAAACCGGTCTTCCCTCCTTATCCACGCCATGATGCCCATGAGGGTAATATTTTAGAACTTCATTCAACTCTTTGAACTCAAAATCCTGAAAGAAACATCAACATGGTAAATGGAATGAGAAAAAAAGTAAACAGTACCAAAACCTGCAAATTCAAATGAACTTTCAGCCGTAGTTACCTCCATAATAGTGTCGGCACTAAAGTCCTTTCTCCATTGAAGCATATCAGCCCACATATGCTTTGCTTTTTCAACATCAAATTTCCTTGCTTTCAAGAACCTGAAAGTAAAAATCTTCATGTTTAAAACTGGCAAATCGTATCACACAAAACAAAACTAAGATGTGAGATGGTATAAACCAAATTAAAAGTATAGAAACAATTAAGTACACTTTAAAAGCACATCCAAAGCAGCATGGGTTTAAGACAAAGATAATAGAATCATAATCAATGAACAAAGTTTACTCAATAAACCATCCACATTTGTCTACCAACATGCTATATGATATGAAATCGTTACTATTTCCGCATACGCTCCCAACTCTCCTAATACATTATATGACCTCTAACACCATGCATACCACATTAATATAACAATTGGCAACTATATTTCAATAAACTACAACAGAAAACCTTATATCTTAGATGAACCAGATTTAGGTACCACCTATATGATTGGCAAAGTGACACTTGAGTGAGCTATAGCAAGCTAAAGCTCAAAGGAGCAGAATCAGAAGAGACTTGCACCTCTGCTTTTGTCATCCTACCATTGCCTGTTTCCCTAGAAAACAAAAACTAAACCCAATCGATCTAAAGCATGGGTGTGAGTTGATTGGGGGGTCAGTTTGAGTCACCCATTCATCTTAACATAAAGTGAGGATATCACTCAAGTGGCACAAGTATCTATCCAATTATGAACTTCCACAAGTATTTGCACGCATGATTACATGAAGACGCAAGGTAAACAACTGAGCACCTCAACATCATATGATAATCATCATGCTTCTCGGGCAGCAATTCGTCCATAATTAGTGCTTGTCGAAAGGCATCAACAGCCTGCAGCTCTTCAACATCACGAACATCTTCAATGGAAACAGAGCTGACTCGGCCATCACTTTTTCTCCTACTGCCCTTTTTCTTGAGAGAATGTTTGAATTTGGTAGATGCATTTATCGCCTTCTTCTTCAGAGTCCCAATTCTAGTCCTGCGTTCATCCTCAGAGTTCTCAAAATCAGACTTCCTCTCTCTTCTCTCATCACTACCATAAAATCCTTCAAAACCTGTGGCACAATAACAATAGCATCGACATTAACAACTGGAGTGTCATGCATTGGAAAAACATGGACATGTGAGAATACAAATATGACCATCATAATCATAATTACACATAAAAATTGAAACTTTCTTTTAAAACTTCAAATTTAACCTAAGTATTCATCAAATTAACCATAAAGCGCATTTCTCTAAGACTGCTCGTTTTGGTCCCTGATAAAATGTAAAAATAGAAAAGGAAAACATTAAAAAGAAAACTAGAAAAACAACAAATTTTGATAGGTCGATATCTTGACACAAGAAAAAGAACAGCCATATACTCAAGCAAGCATTTCTCACACACAAAAAGGGGAAAGAAAAAGTCAAAATTCAAAGCTCCTTCATTTTCTGAGTTTTCTCAGCAACCAAACGGAACCCCCAAATTTAGCAAACTGAACACATCCACAACCACAGTGCCTCAAGAGCACACAAACCCTAACAGATTCAGCAGAAAGAAACAAGCACACCAAGAAGCAAAACCAGCAGCATATCGCCGACAAAAAAGCAAAGAGAGGAGAGAGAAAGACGACTCACAAGGCCTAGCGAACCGATCCAACGGGCCTGACATTCTACACTCTGATCAGCCACACGCATCAACGCAAATGCACTCTGTCAAAAACTCGCATTTACATCAGAAACCCTAGAAACCGCCAAAATCAAACCCCGAATCTCCAAAGCTATCTCACAGCAAGAAATGTGAAGAGCAATGTACCTTTGGTTTCGTGTCGCCGTTGATCAGTAGGAAGATCGGTCAGCAAGGTCCCTGTGAGCCGATCTGCAGCTGGAGCGTCTTTTCTGTAACGTATTCACAGAAATTGTCGAAAGATTCCTTTTTCCTTTTTCTCTCTCTTTTAAATTAACAAATAAATAAAATCGCAAACAGGCGACGGCGAAGAGAGAGAAAGAGAGAATGAGAGAGAAGAGTTTGATTTGTACTTATAGTTGGACTTGGTGAGCTGCAGGAGGCGGTGGGGTCCAGTGGGTCGGGGACACGTGGCGGGTGAAGAGCGTTGAAGACGGAATCTGCCGGCGGTAGTTGAGTGGTAAATGGGAGTAATTATTTGTAAAACGCCTTCTGGGCCGGGGGGTTTTGTAATTATTTAGTAATTGACTAATAATTTTGTCAGCCGGGAATGGAGGGAGAATTCGTATTTATGGGAGTATTAATGGTGTTTTGTTCTTTGTATTTTTGCACGTGCTATGTTGGGAGATGGAACAAACCTACAATTTGACACTTTTTTTTGTCTTTTATTTTAATTTTAATTTGTGTTTATTTATTTATTTTGGTATTCTGTTTTTTATTTTGTAATGTGGAGTGGATATATTAACTTTTGGAGGTGTTTTGGTCGGTAGAGAATTATACATGCTTTTCTTTGACTTTTTGGTTCCTTATAAAATATTTAAAAAATTAAAAAATTTGTTGTTAGTGGTATTTTTCTGTCCAATGTGGAAAAAATTCCTAAGTATGAATTTGTTTTTTTAATACAAGTGATAATACAAATTGAGATGGTGTGAGGAGTTTCTTACACACACGTAACTTAGGTATCATGGAATTTGAACCTCAGACCACTAATCTACTAGTCAATTCTTCCTTTGGCATTGATTCAAACAAATACAATCAAATGTGAAGTGTATGCATAGGTAAAAGAGATTATCCGGAATTTAATTTTGAGGATCTTGTTATTAGAAGGTTCACCAAGAATGCTTTTTCATGATCAATTGGTTTTTTGTTTTTACATTATTTTTAAACAACGGAAGAAATGATATTCAAAATAACATCTTTTAATATTGGAAAGAAATACTATTAGGCAAGAGATATTTGATGAAAAAAAAATCAATTAAATTAAGGGCATGTTTACATACTGAGAATGAGAATGAGAGAATTCATGCATCAAGGTAACTTGGCCAGAGAGGAATTAGGTCAAGTATTACGGATTTTAATGTGAAACTCACATAATGTTTTGTATTCCTTTTGTATTAGTAAACACATAGGAATTCAAAATTTGGAATAATTTCAATACATGTATTAGTAAAATAGGAAAACATGAATTGGAATAATTTCAATATTCTTCCTTCAAAAGTGAACATGCCATTAATATCATTCAGTCATCTAATTAAGCTCAAGTACTTATAAAAAAAAAAAATTTAAGTTGAAATACATGGCCAGAATCTGACTCCCACCTGCGAGTAATAGTATCTTAACACTCCGCAAAGGTGGTCCACATCTCCTCAAAAAAAAATCTCCTTTGTCACCTTTCCCATCTAGGTGGGTTCAACTGTAGTAAAATAGGTAAATAGTTTGACATCCAAGAATTTAGGTGTTGAGTGTAAGCATCTGGATGAGCCATTGACCACTCAACATTGGCCACCAGTCTATACAAACGGGTTTGGACCTTACCTTCCCCTTGCCACCGATTTGTCCAGGTATACTTGTATCCTTGGAAGCCAAGAGACGACAAACCACAATCATCTAGAGCCTCCCGAAATCTCACATTTGTGTCATAGGATGATAGTGACGCCCATGATACTTGTGTGAGCCTCAAGAATTTCATTGAAATCACCTCCCACCAACCGTGGTCCAAACACCGAGCCAGCAATCCGACGCAACAACTCCCACGAATGTCGCCGAAAACTCGTATGTGGATTACCATAAAACCCAATGAACCGAAAATATCCCATAACCTGGTCCCTCAATACTGCATCAATTTGACCTGGTGATGAAGAAAGAACTTGATCCTCCATGTCATAATGCCAAAGTAAAGATAAACCTCTAGACAATCCTTCTTTGCACACACTGTAACTCCCCATTAAACCCAACTAACATTGAATCACCTTCATTTGACGTGCGGTTTTTTTAGCCTCCAACAAAAAGATAACACAAGGCTTTTTATCTCTGAGAAGATATCTCATATCTCGGAATGTTCGTGGTTGCCCAAGCCACGAACATTCCAACATAGGATCGTCATTTCTCGTGATGGACCCAATTCCTAGGACCCATCATGGATTGGGCAGCCTCGCTCTCCCAAATTAACCAAACACCTCCCAACTCCTTTGTCTAACAAAACCCCCTTCCTAGTACCTTTCCCTTTTTTAGGGCTACTTCTAGGTTGAGTTCCACCCACTCTGCAATCACGCTCTATCCCTTTAGCTTTTGTCCCTTGGGAAACATCCCCATGTAGCACCGGCACCTCCTCCAAAGGAACTTGTTTTCCTTTGTTGAATTTGTCATTCCCGCCACTAACATGGGTAACCTCTGCCATAGCCAAAAATCCACTGCCCTGAACCTCACCATACTTCTCAAGCATGTCATCCGAGCAAAGGCATTCAGCCAAACCTAGTGCATGTGAGGAATCCACCATTCTCCGCTTAAAAAGATTTGCTAAAGGGCTTTCAGCTTCTCATGCCACTTCCACCTCCATATTATCCATTGGCCCACCTTGCCCAACGAAGGCATTTGCAAGCGATCGAACCACCCCCACAACCTTAGTTGAAGGCTGCGTAATCTCCTGTTGCATATGCGAATTACCCAGCAGCCCAAACTGCTTGCCTGTCAGATTGTTGTCCGCTCGAATGCAAAAAACATCTTTTATAATCGTCTTCCGCCTACCATATTGCTCAACAGATATGCCTTTAGAAAGCTTTTCCTCACAATTCTAACCCACATGATCAAGCCTCACGCAAAAGAAACTGAAAAATGTTATCATTCATACTCAATCTCATACTGCTTCGCTGGTTCCTCAACCACCAGTTTGAGCGTCACACATCGTTTCAATGGCTTTGAAACATTCAGCCCCACTCTAATACGCAGAAAGCTACCAAGGCAATCCCAGTTAAGACCTCGATCCACCATAAAGAAGGTCCCCAAATAGTTGCCTATCTTTTCGCCCATCGTCAGCGTTAGAAAAAGTAGAGGAATACGTCTCATGCTAACCCAGAAACTATGGGTATCCAGCAAGAGCGACATAGGATCCACACTCCCATTTGTTGCCGCCAAGAGAAGCAAAGCACGCTCAAAAGTCCAAGGAGAACCTCTCATAATTTTCTTTCGATCAAAGTCTGACTTGGAAGAGAATAGAAAGCTCGTTGGATCATCTAGAGGAACGGTCGTGAACTGCTCTCGTGTGTGCCAAATTGGCTTCATCGTTCCTATTAAGGCCTCCTTATGAAAAGCCTTCCCCGTAAGAAGCCTTCCCCGTAAGAAGCCTTCCCACCAACAAAAACTAATCAACCTTCAACCCTCCTAACTCTTCCACACCGACCAACTCGATGGCTTCCGCCATCGAGATTGCAAGAGAATAAGAAATCCCAGAGACAATATCATCAATCGTCGCCATCACCCACTGAAGGCTTCCCCCCACAGCACCAAGAAAACGAAAACACCCTAACTAGAGACAACCTAAACTTAGAACCCCTCCGCACATGAACTGACTGAATCGCTCTCCACGTTAGAGACGAATGCTCCAAGCCACTCAACTATTAAGCCTGCACAAACCCTAGTCATATGACTGGAGTCGCCAAAAAAACCCAACCCTAGCAGGAATGGACTCTATGCTATTGTTGGAGTTAATTGAATAAAAGTTCGCAAACAGTGTTGTGATAAAACCACTTAAATACTTTTGATGAAATTAATTACGAAATATTTTCTAAGTTAGCTAATTTTGTACAACAATAATTCTTGAAAGGTAACTAAAATAATGAGTGATTCAATTCTTCACAATACACTTACTCAACACATAGAGATGATGAAGACAGTAAAAAATTTGAACCTTATGAGAACTCTATATGGTACTAAGTCACTCATGTATCTTACCATGCAATGTATAAAATGTAAAATATTATAGTAAATCATTATAAATAAATGATTATGGTGTGTTTAATCTTCTTTCATTAATTACTACATATATTCTACACTTACAGTGTTTGTCGCTATATAATCAACTTAATTTAGTTAAACTCATCTACAAAGCATTTTCTTCTAATTTTTTTTGTAATAAACTAATAGATAATTGACTAAATAAACATCCTCAAAATTTTCAATAAAAATTTCCAAGTTTTTCATACAATTTTCGTGGTTTTTACTCAATTTTTACCAATATCGATAGTTTCTCAATATTTTCATCAAAATTTCCGTATTTTTGAACCATCGATATTTTACACCTTGGTTAAAAGAATCTAAAGAACTTCACAAATCTTGTCTAAGGCTTGGGGCCCACATTTTGTCACTTTCCTTTCTTTTGTAATTTCATTTCATTTTAAATGTTTATAAACAAACAAAAAACACCAAAAAAGTCATGTCTTCGCATGCAGTGAGAGAAGGGCTAAAAGTTGGCAATATGTAGCTTTTGTGGGTGACCCACCAACGGCGCATGGCCCTTTCAATGTTGGACTCACTTTTGTAATATTTTGTATGATTTCTCCTTCATCTTTTCCTCTCATTCTACTGATCTTTATGTTCTTTGAATCTCTTTTGCGCAGCCACAGAAGTCACTTCCTGAAAGATTAGATTGTATGACATTAGGGTTCTAGAAAGATGTTGGGCATTCCTCAGGTAGGATGTTGTTAAGGTGAGTTGTTCATGCGTGTGAGGAACTGAATATAGCACATATATTTTTTCTTTATAAACAAAATATGATTTCTCTCTAAATATATATATATATATATATTTTATGCCAATAGGGTTTACTCTCATGTTCGAATCACATGGGACCTTAATAGTGTGTGTGTGAAACCATCATTCCTCTAATAGTTTAGATTATCGTTTGTATTAAAAAAAAAAGCTTTTTTTTTAATAAATATTTTCAAATAAACACGCATTAAATTATGAGTTTTTTTTAGCGAACCATAAATTGTAACTTAAATGGGCATTTATTTTTTCCTTGGTACGTAAATATGACTTT